CGCATTATTCGGTTAACCGGTTAACTGCAACCGGAAAACCGCACTATTCGGTTAACCGGTTAACTGCAACCGGAAAACCGCACTATTCGGTTAACCGGTTCACCGATTTCGAGTAACCGAATAACCGACTACCCGGGTACACCTCAAACCGAATAATTGTAAGATCCCTATTTCAAAGATCTCTTATGCAGAATCAGCGACTTTTCAAACATACAAGAGCGATATTTTGATTTCAACAATTTAAACTTAAAATGCTCTTGGATTTTATGCACTGAGGTTCAACGGACGCCGGATTCGAATTCAGCATAAAAATACGTAATAGTCTAGTTTTGTACACAGTATCATATTTATAAGTACTTATTATATTCTGTAGTTTTGGCACAGGTAAGAAAATAAATATGATTATCTCGCACCTCTTTATCATCCATTGCTTTACATATTTATACTATTAATTATCTTTTCATTATTATTTTTATTCTGCATTATTCACAAAAACTTATATATACGACTTTAAATAAATTAAATTTCACTACTGCAATTTATAGCTTTAACGTATCAACTAAAACTATTATAATCATCTTTATCATTGCCAAAAAATTGAAATATTAAATTGCTTTTAGGCGTCAACCATTTGCAATTCTGAATATCAATGACTTTATATTGTTTTTTGAGGATCAGAATTTATATATTTGTATAATATTTGTATTTGAAACTTAAGCTGAAGAATTATTGCGGTGAAAGTTGTTCCAATATTTTTTGAAATATTGTGACGAATCGATAAGATGAGTTAAATGATCTCGCTCGAAGTGTGATCGATGGCTCGCTGCGACAATGTCTCGCGAACAACTTCATGCCGAGGCTCGCTAGTGAGTTGCTCGGACCGCGGAGCGCGGAGGACTCCGTTTCCCGCCGTCGAAGTGACAACACCTGAGAGGGCTCCGTACTGTCTGGCTAGCGGATGAAGACGGGTAGTCCTGAGATGGTCTCTATCATTATTATTGGATCAGAAAAGATAATTGGACTATGAGAAGCCCTGGCAGCATGGGAAGAAGGTTTCTTCCGCTATCATCGCCGATGGAGACTTGACGAGTTCAGCCATCAAACCAGCCTAACCTAGCGTGAGTCGCCCAACAAAGTGCAAAACGTTTTGATTTCGAACCATTTGAATTAAAATTATAAAACGAGAAACGAAATGGCCGTTCGTGCGGAAGTAATGTAAATCTAAAATATAAACAGAGTGACCGATCTTATTTTATAAAAAATATAAAGTGTAATAGAGTGATTGCTGTTATTTATAATATATGAGTAGAGTAATGAGTGATGGATTGAATTTATAGAGTGTGAATCGCGTCTTTAATTCAATTTTATAAAGTACAACTGAGTGATTGATCTTATTTAGAATGTATGAATAGCGTGCGTGATTTAATTTTATGAGAATGATGTAATTTTATAATTTAAACCGAAATGAATGTATGAAAGGATGAATGGCATGATTGATGTGATTTTATAGAGTGTGAAGGACAAACTAGATTGGATTAAGTACCGAAATCGCGAGATTAAAGATCGTGGATTATAATGATCACTGTATAGGAGAATGAAGTTGATCAATGTCTCTGTGCTCTACAAGTAAATAAACACCGAATTGTTCTTATACGGGTTTTGATATTGTTTCTTTTGTTTTTCTTACATTCCTAAAGCTTAAGTTATGTTATCTAATTTGAATAATAATAACAATATTTAAATTTAATATTTACAATATTTTAGTAAGATTTCTTGGAAAACGTTGGATAATATTGCACGAATAGTCTTAACAATATTTGTTTAAATATTTTAGAAAGATTGCTTTGAAATCTTGCAGAATTATTGCATGGACAGTTTCAGCAATGTTTGTTGATATATTTCAGAAATATTGCGTCGAAACCTTTCAGAAATATTTATATATCTGTACTACTAACTGCGCAGAAATATTGCGGAAAAAAGTTTCTGCAATGTTTGTTAAAATGTTTTTGAAATATTGCATCGAAATCTTGAAAAAATGTTGCGGAGAAAAGCTGCTGCAATGTTTATTGAAATGTTTTTGAAGTATTACGTCAAAACCTTGCAGAAATATTTCGTGAAATATATTCTGCAACTCGAATTGCATGGACATAGTGATATTTCAGAAACTTTTGAGTAAAAGCTTTCTGAAATGTTTCAAATCTTTCATGAAACCTGGCAGAAATATTGCAGCAATATATCATGCTATGTGGGAACTTAGATATTAATGATATGGTATTCATTAATTGTATTCTCGGCTCTATTAAAAAAATACATAATATACAGATACAGGAAAGTCGAACAGTAAAATAATTTAACAAAAAACGAAAAATAGAAAGTAATGTGGTTATAATAATGAGTAAAGGAAGAATGTAAATAATACAGAAATTATTATTGTGTGAAATTGAAGCACAATTAGGAGAAAATAAAACTCAACGAAGAATTTAAAAAATAAAGCAATGTATTCAAATTTCAATTATATCAGACAAAATTGTAAAACATTACAAGTTTTTAACACCAATGCGAAAACAGCCCGACACAAATAACATTTTATAAAAACAAATGATCACATGTCACGTATGTATGATTGTACTTCTCGAAAAAATAATTATTTGTTATTGTACCATTATATTTCTCATAAAAAATAAAAAATATCGTTATCGATAATTCACCTCCTATTTATTCGCACAGAAGACATAATTAAGCAAAAATAAATTCACAGAAAAATTGTACCTTCTGTAATCTAAATTGTACCATCAGTACAGTTCTATAAATTTGTTTCTAAAAGAAATAATAGGACAATTACAAAGCTCTACGCCTGCGCAAAGTACATTTCCGGATGACATCCTTGGACGTTGTAACAATTAGTGGTAATTTGTAATTGTCCTATTATTTCTTTTAGAAACAAATTTATAGAATTGTACTGATGGTACAATTTAGACTACAGAAGGTACAATTTTTCTGTGAATTTATTTTTGCTTAATTATGTCTTTTATGTGAATAAATAGGAGGTGAATTATCGATGACGATATTTTTTATTTTTTCTGAGAAACATAATGGTACAATAACAAACAATTATTTTTTCGAGAAGTACAATTAGACATACGTGAGATGTGATCATTTTTTTTTTATAAAATGTTATTTGTGTCGGGCTGTTTTCGCATCGGTGTTTGTAACCTAGTTGTCCCATTTAGCGACTCCTTATTTACAAAAGAAAATTGAGATACATGAATAGCTTGAAAGTCACAAGATTAAATAAGAAGACTATAAATTATTATATGTTAGTTAAAGAAAGTATTTGGATTTTTCTTCAAAAAAATAAAAATTCTGTAACTGCACCAAGAAAAAGAGATGTGATCACTAAAAATAGTATAAAAATAAAAGAAAGCGATATTTACAGGATTCAAAAGATATTTTGTATAAAAAGTTTTGCACTCAGTCTACATTTAAAATTTCAACGTTGCAGTTTTACAAACTCTGTTCTTTTTATATCACGACGTGAAAGATTTCTGGTCGTGATACCTGTTTTTGTAAGACTCGTACAAATTTTGCTTTCAAATTGCAAAAGTTGTTTCAGTTAAAAATAATGCGTACTTCATCTACTCAATAATTTACAAAGTGTTTTTCTTATGATCTAGAAAAGAGGGTATGTACAGAGTATGCAAAAAAATGCAAAATTAAGCCCGTTCGTGCGCATGAAACTTCTGGATCGACGTTTTATTATGAATGGAGAAATGAAATAAAAAGTATAACAGGAATAAAAAATAAAAATTACACTGTGAAAATTATGTCGAAGAAAAAAGTTCACTGAAAAATTATAGTTCTTATTGTAGAGTTAAATAAAGATACTGCTGCATTCTTGAAGCACGTCCATGACACATAACATCAATATCGTACCATTGATAAGATAAAATGAAATATGAAACCTGGTGAAGCTGTGGTAGTTATCGATTATGGATGTAAATATAATACTGAGATTTAGAGCATACACTGTGGGGCATCAGCAAAGCAAGTTTTTTTATACACAGGAGTCTTTTTTTATGTCGATTCTAAAACTTAAAAGCTTGAATGCATTTCATTTTGCACAGTGTCAGCCTGTCTTCGTCATGGCGCTTTAGTAGTTTAGATAAATTTTCAGCCAATTTTAGATTTAATAATAAAATATAAACTATAAATTAAAGTTTTACTCATTCAAAGCGATAGGCCATTTTGATGATATAAAAATAAAACCAACTTATATTTATTTTTTCATTGTTGTAAGAATTTAAGTCTCGATTTTGTTACGTTGAACTTTATAGCAACAGGGCACGGAATAAGTCGTGCAGACGGCATTGGAAGCACGGTGAAGTGCTTATACAATAGGATTATATACAGCTAAATTTTTTGTGTTTTCAACTAAACTAGTTGTGGCTAATACAGAGAAAGTAAATAAAAAAACAAAAATAAACATACAAACGATAGAATACTAGAATATGCTAATACTAATAGTTTAAATAAAGCGACTGACAATAAATTATTAAGTAATCCTTGTGGCATAAAAGGAGAAATCCTATCCCGGAAAAGAACTCATTGGTACAAAAAAAAACAGATTTAAAATTAAAGATCATGTATATATGAATATTATAAAATTAATAATTATTGATTGTTATTCGTTATAAGTTAGCTTATTATGATATTATTTACAAAAGCGTTAGAATAAAAATATGTTAGTGAATATTGTAACAGGGAGGGATTATATCGTACAAACGGGAAAGCTAATAGTGCAAAAGTCCCTTGATGCAGTCAACCGTCACTTAGCTTCAACTTCAAGTAACTCCCTATAGTGAACTTACCTTAAGTCACCTGACTGATGACTTGTCGCTCGTATCGTGTAAAGGGGCTGTTGTTTACTTCCCATAACCGCCTAGACAAAATCGGTTCAAACTTTAGGAATTGGATTTAACGTTGAGCAAGGAGCAAAAGATCGCAAGGCGGTAAATTATCCTAAATCGTTTTAATTGGATTAAAATATACAGTCTTTTTACGGGTCGAAAGACTTTCGTTCGCGTATGGTTTACAATATAATTCAGGAAGAGAGAGAGTATAAATTATACACGGACTACGTAGGTACGACTATTGCAAGGGTTATTCGGTGCATACATCAAATTATTCACGCGGTACTAGCTAATATGAATATCTCAGATACTGATAGATGCACCTGCCCTGAGTTGTGGTTACGGTGATCAGCCGTAACCGAGCGAACAAACTTTTAGTCGTCGGATACTCTGGGTCAAGCTGCTACTGCTGCTGCTGTAATTGTCGCTAATTGTTGCATCTCCTTCTGGAATGCCTCTGCTGCCTCGACACTGATGTTGTTTTTATGTACTAGTACTTTTTTTCGGCTCACTCTCACTCACGGCAAAGTCTTTTTCCAGTACACCAGCTGACGGGTTAGGTCATACTGTTTGTGCACTTCATCTATATAAAACCCTCGCGCGCGCCTTTTCTTTCCCCTATTCGCTTGCTTTCGCTCCTCAAGTGCTGTCGAATCTTGAAAGAATCAATATTTATAATCGATTATCGTTGCAATATTTATTAAATAGTGAATAAAATTCGTATTAATGTTGAAATTACAATTTTTTTTTTACTTTTTTTAATGAACACTCCTGACACGCGCTTCCTCAAGTAAAAATTGATCAAGGATACAGATTTTCTTTTGTTTTTAATTAACGAATACGTGTACCAAATGTGAAGAATGTGTTTGCAACAAATTTTTTACTTTATTTTTAGTACCGAATCGAAAAGTTTTGTGGATTTGATACTCATATACAGACACACGCACACTAGTGGAATTTATCTCTACGCAACTAATATTTTAATAAACGATAACAATCAGCCGATATTAGTATCTGAATATAAAAATAACTTTAAAAAAATTTGAAAAAATTTGAAAAAGTTCTTATAAAAATGATAAAATTGAATATTTCAAGAAATCCTTCATTTAAGCTAGAGTACTAATCTAAAGAAAGAAAATGAAACGTTCAAAATTAATTTTCGTTCACTTTAACATTTAGAAAAGCGTGGTAAAGCAATTTTAAAACCAAAATAATGTGCTATAGTAGAGGGAACTTTCTAGGACCTTTAGGAATGTTAGGACTTGAAAAAAATCAATTAAATAAATTACTTAACCAACCAGGTTTTAACAGTAAACAAATGGTTCTATTATATGGTATATTGAAAAATATGTATAAATTGGATGTTAATACCTACTTGTCCGGCTTTTACTTTCAGTAGAAAATTTGTGGCTAGAGGAGCATATGTACAGAGTATGTATACATGTTTCAATAAAATTTTCCTTAATAATATGTATGCTTTGAAAGAAATATTCATTTCTATTTATTCTTTCAAATTTGTATAGATGTTACTGAATGAGTAATCAATGTCCTATTTCAAATATATTTATTCAATGTAAAAGAATCTATACTTTTATCAAATAATATTTGATAAACGCTGTAAATTAAAATAAAAAGTCATTATAGTGCTAATTATTTTTTAATTGTTTCTCGCTATTTCTTTAAATATAATTTATTGAAAAATTAATATTATTTCTAAGTGTTTCATCGAAAACAGAAATTCTTTGTATTATTTTAATTTAAGAAAATCTTACGACAAAATGTTAAGATATTATTATTAGTTGCATTTAAGGTCGTTGGTATAAGTAAGGACGTCCATATGGGCCAATTTTTATGGTATTTTTTTCTGTTCTCAATTGTTGGAAATAGCTGTAGACTACAAACCAGAAATACAAGTAGATATCTAGAAAAAAGAAATCATTATGAATGAAGTTCATAATTTATGAAAATATATGTTAAAATTTTTTTTCAGATTGGAACTGCATTTTCATATAATACTATGAACTCACATAAAACTAAAAGTCCGAATATTAAAAATAATGCGCCATACAGCATATGATGGAGTTCATCATCGTTGAAAAACAAACTGATTGATGTGTAGAGTACGCTAACAAAGAGACCACCAAGAAGGATAATACCTAAAACCACCCACGGTAGCATCATTGCAGTACTTCTCTGTCACCAAACAAAACAATAAATAAGTATAGATCATCTAAACTATAAGATTTTAAGGGAAAAATATCAACTTACTTTCAATGCACCAGTAATCATTAAAGTTGAAATAACCATTGTCATTACTAAATTGACTGTGTAGATTATTTTGACAATGTCTGGATCAATATCACTGATAATGGTTTTCCAATGAACGTTTACAGTAAACAAGAGTATAATTGTAATGATGGCTAATATCTAGAATAATATTAAAATATAATCATCTAATTTTTTATTTATTTAGTGAATAATTCGTAAAGAGCATATATTATTATATAGGTATATATATATATGTATGTATTTATATGTAAAAAAAATTATTAATATTATTAGTTAAATTTTTACACATTATTAAACTAATATAGGAACATTTCTGATAATATCTCTGCTTTTGAGAAAGCACAGTCCTAGTCCTTGCGATTTTCAAATAAAAAATGATTTAACTGCATTGAATTGTGACTATGAACTGCCTATTTTTTAATTTTGTATTTTACAAGACAATGGTATACAATTTCAGAATAAGTGTTTCATTGTCGCTTGTGTATAGCTCGATCATTTTTAATTTGAAATCAGTCTCCAAGCATCTGCAGCTGACTCGCATGACGGGTTTACCTTATTTAAAATATGTGTCAAGAGAATGATTTCAGTCACTGTACGAGAATTGTGAATCAGTCCAGTCAAGATAGACCTAAAATAGATTGTGTCACAGAAGTGGATGGTAAATCGAGGTCGAAAAAACCGATTCTTCAATTTGCAGTACTCTCGGTTAAGAGGTTCTATGAGAAATTAATATTTGAAAGTTAATTTTCACTAAATCTCAAAAACGGCTGAAGCTAAGATAAAAAAACGCATACCAATCGAAAGAGCGTAAATTTTTTCATAAAAACAGATATTCAAATCCGTTTCGATGAGTGTAATATTTTGAAATAAAAAATAAATATGGAATTCCACTGTTGTGAGGTAAGAGGGGACAGTTGAGCTCTCTCTGCCGCCCCTGTCGGTGCGCGCAGATACGTATAGTCGACACTCATCGGCCCTCCAGCCTACTCTGGATTCCCTTTTTCTCATTTTTTCATGCATTTAGCACGTGCGTTAGCTGCTGGCACATGATTAAACTAATTCTTAAGTTTAAAATGCAAAATAATATTTTCTTATTTAACTGACAGTAATTATATTTATACAGGGTGTTTGATTTTAATCCGACCACGCGCATAACCTAGTAAAAACAAACGTTATCAAAAAATGACCTTTATAAAAGTTGCAGGGGACAGAGGAGGCCATCAAACGCTACCATCAACTTTGACCCTTAATACGTTTTTCAAGGTCACCTGAAGGTCAACGTGCTTTTTTTAATAGGAACACCTATTTTTGACCCCGGAATCGTGTAGAGCGGGAAAAATTACATCTAAATGATATTTAAAGTTTGTATTTGTGACCTAAGAAGGTCAATTAAAGGTCAAATGCTCAAAAAACTGTATTTTTGTCATACCGATGTCTCTGTACATTTTATTAATTAAATTAATTCTCTGATTCTCCATTATGAATTTATCCCCTATTTATTATTAAAGTAGAACATTTTTTTAGTTAAGAATAATTTTTCATATTGACTTTACCCGTGCTTATTGTTACATACGAGGGGGTGGAGTCAATAAGTCCTTACAAAATCCAAGAAATGGCGCTCGTCACGCTTAAGTTATGATATTTTTGGCAAGCAATACTACTGACTAGATATCGTACAAAGTTTCAGCTGGATTCATTAAGTCGTTTTTTTGTGAGCGTTGATTGAACAAAAAGTTATTGGTTTATTTGAAAAATGGAAAAAACAGAGTTTCGAGCGGTGATAAAACATTTTCATTTGAAAGGCCTTACACCAAAAGAAATCACAGTTGAGTTGAACGCCGTTCATGACAAGTCTGCCCCTGTGTTTAAGACTGTTTATAACTGGGTAAATGAATTTAAACGCGACCGTACAACAACAAAAGATGAACCCCGTTCAGGACGCCCCGTAGAAGTGAGTACATCCGAAATGGTCAACAAAATCCACGATATGGTGTTGAGTGATAGAAGATTAGAACTGTGAGAAGTTCTCAACTGCAGCAGCAAAAAAATATCAGCAAGATGGGTGCCGCGTTTGCTCACTGTTGAAAACAAACGAACTCGCGTTGTCACCTCTAAGGCTCTTTTGGCACGCATACGTCGTAATCCGGAAGACTTTTGGCGTCGACTCGTAACTGTAGACGAAACATGGGTACACCACTACACTCCTGAAACCAAAGAACAATCCAAACAATGGATTACCGCAGGAGAACCAGTCCCAAAGAAGGCAAAGACAGTAAAGTCAGCTGGCAAGATTATGGCCGCGGTTTTCTGGGATGCGTATGGAATCATCTATATCGACTACTTGGAAAAGGGCCAGACGATCACCGGACAATATTATGCGTCATTATTAGATCAGCTGAAAGAAAAAATCAGAGAAAAACGACCTCACTTGAGCAAAAAAAATGCCTTTTTCTTCAAGACAATGCTCGAGTTCACACGTGTGCAGCTTCGATGGCAAAAATTAACGATTTAAAGTTCAAATTAATTGATCATCCACCATACTCACCTGATTTGGCTCCCAGTGACTTTCTTATTTCCTAACCTCAAAAAAATGGCTTGTCGGGCAACGATTCACGTCGAATGAAGAAGTCATCGCCGAAACAAATGCCTATTTTGAGGGTTTTCAGAAATCATATTTTTCTGATGGCTTAAAAATCTGGAAGGCCGTTTAATAAAATGTATCGACCTTCAAGGAGATTATGTTGAAAAATAAAAAAATTTACATACGCAAAAGTTTTTTTCCTTCTTTTTGTAAAGACTTATTGACCCCCCTCGTACAGTTTATATTTAATATAGCACTACTTATTGAATAGTTAAACTAATAAAATTTCTTTTGTTTAACATTCGTTTCTTCTTAAATTAAATAGTCGCAGAAAAATTATCTCGTTTTTTTCTACTTTGTTATAATCAAAATTTTCACTATGGCTGATTACCCAGCGGCTGAAGGGGTTGATATTCTATTGGTTCTTGGTGAATGTAGGCGTAATTTCCGACAAGCTGCTGCTCTTTATCGAAATTGATATCCCGACAGAAGACATCCGAGTCATACAACAATTCGTGAAATTTACCGTAGAGCTCAATACGGACAACTAGCACGGGTTAGAGAACGTCGTAATTACAATGAAGAAGATATTCGTGTAATAGTGGTTCTGGCAATGGTTCATTTAAATCGTAACATTAGTACCTGTAACATTCAAAGGTAAACTGGTATACCAATGGGTACTGTTTGGAGAATACTAAGAAATCATCGTTATCATCCATATCATATCACTTTGACTCAAGCCATCACACCTGTTGATATGAGATTACGTTTACAGTTTTGCCAATAGGTACGACAATTGATTGCTAATGATCCAAACTTTTTTCGATACGCAATGTTTTCAGACTTTTAAAGCAATGGCCAGCTTCATCGACATAATTGTCATTATTGGTCAGTAGTTAATCAGCATTAGCACAGGCAGATAGATAATCAAAATCGATGGAGTCTTAATGTATGGTGTGGAATTGTTAATGGATACCTTATAGGTCCGTACATTTTCGACGGAAATATAAATATGCATAATTTTTTACATTTTCTGAGAGACCACCTTCCAGTACTTCTGGAAGAAGTAGATTTGTACATAAGATTAAGAATATGGATTTAATTAGATGGAGCTCCTGCACACTACGCTCGAATAATTAGACAATATTTCAATCAATACTATTGTGACAGGTGGATTGAACGCACCGAGCGTGGAGATTTTGATGTTTGATGACCAAGATCTCCAAATTTAACATCACATGATTTTTATTTATGGGGTATTTATAAGATATTGTTTATGAATACGAACCAACAACAAGAGAAGACATGATGCAAAAAATTCGAACCGCTTGTGAAAACATCTCAAGGGCTGTATTACTCAGAACAGTAGAACAATTTGAGCAGCGAATACAATAATGTATTAAAAAAAATGGTGGTATCTTTGAAAACCTATGTTGAATTCTGAATAAAAGTGAGAGGCAAGGGGACTCACTTTAATCAAGCACCCCAAAGGGAACACAAGCCTATTACGTCTACGTCGTTGTTCCTGGGTAATGGTAATAGTAGGATAAAAATTTGACCTTCAAATGACCTTGGATATCGATAATAGGGCCCAGGACATTGTCATATTCAAATTTTTCCATTTTCGGATCCTTGATAGAAAAAATGTTCTGTTGCAACAAACAATGTGACTTTCAAATAACCTTGCAAAAAGGCTTCAAAGACAGCATGGCATTTTACACAATTACTTTCAAAAATTATACAATATTTATATAGGCTTTACAATATTTATTCTACCAAAAAATTAGAAACACTAGTTGTAAGGAGTATTTTTTGAGCATTTGACCTTCAATTGACCTTCTCAGGTCATAAATACAAATTTGAAATATTATTTGGGATGTAATTTTTTCCGCTCTACATGATTCCGGGGTCAAAAATAGGGGTTCCCACACAGCATGTAATATTGCTGCAATATTGCTGCAATATTTCATGAAAGGTTTGGAACATTTCTGCAAGCTTTCATTGAAATATTTCTAAAATATTGCTATGTCCGTGCAATTGAAGCTGCAGCAATGTTGCAAAAAAGGTTGCAGCAACTTTTCTCGCAATATTTCTGCAAAGCATCCATCCAATCTTTCTAAAATATTTCTAGAAACATTACAGCAACTTTTCTTGCAATATTTCTGCAAGGTTTCCTGCAATCTTGCTAAAACATTTCTAGAAACATTGCAGCAACTTTTCTTGCAATATTTCTGCAAGGTTTCCATGTAATCTTCCTAAAATATTTTTAGCAACATTGCAGCAAATTTTCTCGCAATATTTCTGCGGCTTTATCCGCACGGACATAGCAATATTTCTGCAAGGTTTCCATGCAATTTTCCTAAAATATTTCTAGAAACATTACAGCAACATTTTTTGTGATGTTTCTAAAAGGTTTCCTGCAATCTTGCAAAAACATTTCTAGAAACATTGCAGCAATTTTTCTTGCAATATTTCTGCAAGGTTTCTATGCAATTTCCCTATAATATTTCTAGAAACATTGCAGCAACTTTTATTACAATATTTCTGCAAGAATTCCTGTAATCCTACCAAAAGATTTCTAGAAACATTACAACAATTTTTCTTGCAATATTTCGAAAAGGTTTCCTGCAATCCTACCAAAAGATTTATAGAAATATTGCAGCAATTTTTTTTCGTAATTAATTTGAAAGGTTTTTATGTAATCTTTCTAAAATATTTCTAGAAACATTGCAGCAATTTTTCTGAAAGGCGTCCACGCAATATCACTGGAAAATTTCTAGAAATATTACGAATATTTTCCTTACAATATTTCTTTGAATTTGCTTGCACGGATATTGAAATATTCCGAAATATTTCAAGAAATATTGCAGGAATATCACATTTATAAAAAGTTTCAAATATTATAGACATTTTTCATGCACATTATAGAATTGATTGTCAGAAAAATTTATACTATACCTTGCAATGTCTTAGTGACTTCTAGTTATAAATAGTTACATATATGTATATTTTTATATATACATATATGAGCCATTTCATGTCAACTCAATGGATCAACATTTTTTTTCCTTTTTTAATAGTGCCATTTGATTGCATATATTATGTAGAATATGTGTATTTTTTTTTTAGAACTTGAAACTCAAAATTGGATTTTTGGCAGAATTTTCAATATGGCAACTTTTTCAATTTTCGAGCTCATTTTTACCCATGAAGGACTTATTTTAGGTATGGACATTTGAGTATATACATGAAATAACATCGATTTTCGCTCTACTTTACGAATATATAATTAGTTTTCAAAAATACTCAACTTTGGATGAATATATATATATATGTATATATAAAACAATCAAAAAATTATTGGAATTATTACAATGAAAAATTAAAATATTTTACAATTATAAAATAGTGGTTATATCTGCTTTATTAATAAAATAGTCATGACATATAAAATATTCATAATACTGGAATGAGTTGCTGTCTATGCTGAATCAGGATCATCGTCCGTATCATCGGTTAATTGTAGAGGCGTAAATGGTTTCGATTTGTGCATGGACCGCTGCCTACAATAATTATGTGAAATTATAATTATAGTTGATACAGAATTACCTCAATTATTTCCCTTCGTAATACTTACTGACTACGTTTGAATCTGGTACTTGCTTGATCCAAAAATCCTGAAATTGATTTTTTTATGTCATCGTCAGTAGTTTTAGAAAATGAAGCCTTTACAGCCACTAAAAAATCATAATATTTTATGTATTTTCATTACCATGCATATATATATTGTATACATATGGGCAGTTTCACGTCAATTCGGCCGATCAAAATTTTTTTTCAATTATTTTTTATAAATGTGTTTTATTGCATCTCCTGAGCATGTCCATAAAATTTTAGATCTTAAAACTCAAAATTGGATTTTTGGCAGAATTTTGAAAATGGCAACTTTTTCAGTTTTCGGAAAATTTCCAATTTTTGAGCTTATTTTTACCTATGAAGGACTTATTTTAGGTATAGACATATACATATGAAATAACATCTACTTTCGCTCTAGTTTACGAATATATAATTAGTTTTCAAAAATACAGAACGTAGAATGAATATATATGTATGTACATATATACTTGCTGAAAACTCGAAGAGCGACAAGGTTTTGGTCGAATTTTATTCCATCAATCGATGGCTTTTTTAAAGACCTTTCCAAAGATATATCACAAAAAGTGGGCATTCCCCCGTCTTCTATATATATAACTGATATATAACTTAAAATCATCTTACTATTCTATAAAAGTCGATATCTTGGGATAACATTAACTTAAAAAAATAAAGAGATACATGTTTTCGATGTATTTTTTTCCGCAGAACACGATGGTGCTATCAGTTTTATCATAAAACCTAATTAGAAAGCCTTACGGCCAAAAATCGTCTAAAAATATGTAAAATATCGTTGGAAAGGTCTTAAAAAAAGTCATAGATTGATGAAATAAAATTCGACCTAAACCTTGTCGCTTTTCGAGTTTTCAGCAAGTATATATATACATACATATATATTCATCCCACGTTGAGTATTTTTGAAAACTAATTATATATTCGTAAACTAGAGCAAAAGTTGATGTTATTTCATATTATATGTCTATACCTAAAATAAGTCCTTCATAGGTAAAAATGAGCTCAAAAATTGTAAATTTTCCGAAAATTGAAAAAGTTGCCATTTTCAAAATCCTGCCAAAAATCCAATTTTGAGTTTTAAGATCTAAAATTTCATGTACATGCTCAGGAAACGCAATATAACACATTTGTGCAAGAAAAATTGAAAAAAAAATTTTGATCAGCCGAGTTGACGTGAAACTGCCCATATATATATGAGATAAGAACTTACTGTAAATGCATGTACAGAGGGAAAGGACAGAGAAACATTTATTTTTCTCTAAATTTTTCCCTTTTCTTCCGTAAAAGCTGTAGCTTTGCAAAACCTCATCGGTAATTATTCTTGGCATCATGTTGTATATCAGATCATGAGCATTGGCACCACCCGCTTCTTGGAGATGATTTATCTACAATATCGTTCAATAAAGCAAAACATACAAATAATTAATAATCTATTTTCAACTTTAGATGGTTAGATGAAATGCAATGAACTATAAAAACTTGGCAAACGATTTAGTATGTAGCTCAATAAATTTAAGAGGGTCAGATGGGGTTCAAGCGGAGAAAAAAACTTTTTTATCTTAAGGGGATGCCATAACAAAATTTACACCTCAGTAGTTTGTGTTACACACAAATAATTTATTTGTTCGCAATAAATATCGCAATCATCCGCACTTCTTCAAAAACTGAATAATAAACACGTATAACGAAAACTACGATAGCGTATTGACGGGCTGTCTCTACGCTGCATGATTTTGTAATCGTCAACGTTCACTCAATACTCATTTTTTTATTAAGGTCATTCACTTTGAAGAACAATCTAAAGAATAATAAAAAAATTGTAACATTCTATGAAAAGTCAATATTATTCGGGTATAATATGGTTTTTAAAAATTTATAGGTTAAATTGCGTTATGGCATCCCCTTAACATATACTACGTAATAATCGCTTTCATTTCATTCGTTATGCGTTTCATCAGGCCGCCTCAAACGCAAGCCGTAATTTCATGATGGAATGAATTGATGAAAAAATTATTATATTCTTGGAAAACCCCAATCCCAAATCTCCAAAAACTATACAAGCAACGCACACACACACACACAGTTCACACACAAATAATGTATCGAAATATTGATAATCAAATTAGGATTCTAATTACCATTACCATGAAAATGGCTATTTATTTATTTATCAATTTCTGCTCATGAGAATCTGTGGAGAAAGTACTACAGTATCGCACGCAAGTTTTCAACAAATTAATCTATGCATATCTCAACTCACAAAATAAACGTAGACTAAAGGCGATACTTTTTTTACTCTAGCTGCTAAATCAATTTCCCATTGTGCAAACATTCTCGAGAAATTAAATAACATACTTACATGCAATATTGTTATCAAATCAAAAATGAATTGAACCTTAAATTACAACTCATAGCAGATCTATAAAAAAATCCATCAATCCAAATCATTTTTTAAAAAACATGAATCAGGGTACACAATTACAATTCTTTCATATTATTGTTCTGCAACAAGAGGCTAGTACTCTAATACCCACATGAAACTCGGAGAATTTCCAGTACTTTACAGTTCGCGCGCGAATTCCATTCAATCGAATTCTGAAGAGAACATGCGAATTCGGTGAGTTTGATCACAAAAAATCGAAGACTTTATTAGGCCAAGAAACAGCAAGTTCGGAAGAGTACTGTCGAGTATGCGGGAGTTCTTAAGAGTTTGTCACTAAATTTTCACTATCACTAAGTCCGATTCCTACAGTATGTGCCGCGGAATAGTTTTGATAGAAATTATTGATTAAAGTTGTTTAATTTTCGGTTGATGATGCGGAATATCAACTCAGTATGACAGATAGAAGTAATTTCATTTAAAAAATATTCGATCATGGATCAACACGCCACGGTTAGTTGTTATCAACACATAAGTTAGACGAATTATTGACAAAAACTGTACTTATTTTAAAAGCAATAAAAAAAAAAAAAACAAATCACATCTCAAAGTGTTTGAAAAAAGCTAACCATTCAGAAATTTCACGAAAACTTCTCGGACGGTTGTGCATTTTTCAAATATTTCTCGAACTTTTCAAAATATCGAGAAACTACTATGACGATTAAAGTTTCAAAAAAATTTATATCGTAATTCAAAACATTGAAGTTATTAATTATCTAGTGTATTAAAGCATAATAATATAGATTGTATATAATACATGATGATTTATTATATTAACATTTATGTCTATGATATAAAATTATTGACGGACTTTAGATACTTTTGGCTCTTGAATTGAAATTTGGAGATTTTTTGGTTATAAGATGCATTTCATCTCGTATTTTCCATTGACTGAAAATTACTAATTTTAAAAACTCTGGATGTTGCAAGCCTTAACCAAGAGAGTTTAATCACGAATGCTTTAACCTACAAAAACTAGCCGCTATTCATGTAAAACCAAAGACAGGTTAACCGCAAATTCTTTAACTTACAAACTGTAGGCGCTATGCGTCTATATCACAAGACAGGAAAACCTCAAATGCTTTAACCTATAAACACTAGGCGCTGCGAGATTTCAACCAGAAACAGGTTGACCTAAAATGCTTTTATCTACAAATTCTAGGCGCTATGCCTCTTAAATCCAAGATTGGTTAACCCCAAATGCTTCAATCTACAAACACTAGGCCTTAAGCGTCTTAAACCAAAGACAGGTTAACCTCATATTCTATACCCAAAGTTCTGGTTCAATATCTATGGGGCTTAAGACGCATAACGCCTAGTGTTTTAATTTTTTAAGCACCTGTGTTTTATTTGAGTGGATTTGAGAATATTTGGGTTAATTTAAATATTGTCACAAGACAGCGCGGTGATATATTTAATGACTTTCGGATGGGGCAGACCTTGAAAAATAATAATATAGAAAAATTAAGAACGTGCACCCTGTACATTTCCTGACAAGCTATTTCAGCATTCGACAAAAATCGTTTCGAATTGATGGATTTTTGTTGTTGAACTGCTCATATACCAGATTCCATTTCATTGAAAATCAAAAGTAAAGTAGAATACCTTTTACCAGAACCATTTAAAACGAATTAAATGGTAGTATTTTATCAATTTATCAATACATTATAAAACATTGTAAGTATGAGGATTATTTATGTGAAGTTCTCTATACGATCAGGTGTATTCAAAATGTAATGTGACTTTTCAAATTTCGCGGTAAGGATATCATTAATTTGTCATTTTTTTGTTTTGCTCTGTTGCTACACATGTCCTAAACATATGTTCACAGATTCAACTATGTCCATTTTTTGTTTGTTTATGAGAAATATAAAGGTTAGAAACGTTTTGCTTATTGGTCGATTTTCTGCAGCTGAAAAAAATGGATCAAAGAATTTGCATTAAATTTTGTGTGGAAAATAGAATTAAGTACTACAAAATACTTGAAATGTTGACAGTGGCATACGGCAAGTATACTCTACGTAAAAAAATGTTTATAAGTAATACACACTTTTTCAAAATGGCCGAGAAGATACTAATGACGAACCACGTTCTGGACGTTCTGGCGCGTCAACAACAGATGAAAACGTTGAAGCAGCGAAGAAAATCGTTTTGGACAAGGTCGTCCGTCAATACGGAATGTTACCTTCAAGTTATACGCCGCTTACGATAAGCAATACGAAGGAAACGTTCGGAATTGTGAAAAAACAAGTCACGGTTTTTGCATCATGACAATTCACCTGCTTACTCATTGTTGCTTGTGAGAGAATTTTTGCCCAAAAACAACACTATAATCATACCTCAGCCACCACATGTTCACCGGATGTGGCCCCCTGCGTCTTTTTCCTTTTCCACGACTGGAGGAACCTGTGAAAGGTCGAAGATTCGCAACGATTGAGGTTATAAAGACTGCATCGCTGGAAGAGCTCAAGACTATACAAAAAGTCTTATTAGAAATGCTTCAAGAATTGAAAAAGAAGTTAGCATAAGTGTATTATATCTGAGGGGGACCACACATACAATCACACGCACACATATGAATATTGATAAATAAATAAATATTTTTTTATAAAAATAAACAGACACCTTACTTTTTGAACACACCTGATTATATAATTCATACAATGGTTAAAGTTGTATAGGTGAAAAATCAAATTTTATGCCAGTTCCGTTCGATATTTTTTATAATAATAGCCAATAAACCATGAAAAATTTGTGAAATGATGATGGTTATAGTGTTATAATAATTTGATTAGAAAAATGAATAATTTTGAACAAACTATAATAGTGAAATCAAATGTATAGTTATGAATACAGTGCATAACACTACAATCTACATGTCAACTTACGTGAAATAATATTCGATTTTCTCGACTGCAGCGTCGTACTCTAAAAATCTTATTAAATATTAATTCATTACATCTTTAATACTTTCATTATTTTGATTGTTACGTGTCGCAAGATACACGAGAACTATTGAATCCTATACAGATGTATATTTTAGCGGGCTCAAACTTTTTTAATGCATTTCTGTTGGTGTTATAAACAATTTTCATTGCCTCTAACGTTAAAGGATAAGTACACTCGCCGGAGATGGGTTCTGTCTACCCATTTAAATTTATACATGGGAACCCATCTAAAAATTCAAATAGTGGACAGAACTAATCTCCGGCGAGCGTACCTTATTGAATTACTTTCTAAAATACGACAATTGAATAATAACACGACTTAAGGAGGTTCAGGATCATCAGCTGCGGGAGCGGGGCGGGGCGACTCTCCTCTCACCGCGCGCGCCACTTTGCTCCCCGTGCACCTCCCCGTATAACCGATAAAATCGAGTTTCTGCTCACATTTTAATTGACTGTTTACAATTAAAAATGGTGACCTTAGCTCAAACTTTGGCATTAGATTCCGCAATAATTATTTTATATGTGTTTAGTTTTTTTTAACGTTCTGTGCATTTTTTTGAGTTTGCACTCTAAGTGAATCACTTTCAAGACCACGTCTCTCATAAGAGCCCGTGTATAAGAGCTCAACTTTGAGTACGATTTTCTTCCAAATTCGGATGGTAAAAAATATTGAAAATATTCACAGATGCTCGTAATGCTTTTATCTAAGACATTGGTCAATTTGAGCTCATTCTGTGCATTTTTGTAATGGTCCTGAACCTTCTTAAAGCGACATACTCACCACAATCCTTGCAAATTTCTTATCTAGTCATTTTGCTTCGACTTCTTTTATCTTTTTTTTGTATTGTCATTATTAGCATCGATTGGAAAATACTCTTGAAACATTTGTTATTCTCTAATCTTTAATCAAGATATAATTATTCTGATGAAGTATGCCTTCTTTGATTTTTTAACAATTTTCCATTGTTTTCTAGCTTCTAAGATATATAATTGACTTTTTTAAGTATAAGTAACTGTACATCTAAAAACAGGAAAAATTTTTAAAAACAAACGCTTTTTTTATATCATAAATGAGGTAGGTGTATCAAATATGAGAAAACTATGCGCAAATAGCTGTAACTCTTGTCCACCCTAGAATTTATCGGGGTGATACGACTCATTTGAATGCTTATGGACAGAACTTTGAATTGAGCCGTCGCAAGATGATTTTAATGAAGTGTAGCCTGAATTATAGCTTTTCGAATTTACCCTCCTTTTTTAAGCATATAAAACAAGTGTATTCAATATGAAATACTGCGGGAACAGATATTTATCGTTACATAAGCTACTCGTGGCACATAATAATCAGATGTGTGCAAATATTCTTACGTATTCAGAAAAAATATCATCCCTGAATATATGTAGAAGCGTTATGTTTAAGTTCATACATCGCCTACTATTAGGATTTTCTAAAATAGTACTTGGCACGGCATTAGGCTTATTTGTGAATTACGAAGAAATGAAGGAGTGATTCTAAAAGGTCGAAACATGACGAATTTAGTGGTGTATTATAGACTTATGGTCGAATCGAGTAAAGTGGTTCAAATGACCTTTGTTAAAAGAACAACTGATTCAGTTGGAAAATTCGCTCGTTTAAGCATAAAAAGGCTACTACAAACCGGGTTTTGCATTTGTGGCTGGTTAAAAAGTCCATGGACATGTCATTATTTCATCTTATGAATATAATACCACAAGCTGGTACGGTCACAAAGTTAAAAGTTTTAAATCCAAAAATAGTCTCATATAGGGTACACCTACCTTAGGTGAAATAAAAATTAATGATATGAATATTTAAATTACCATAAATTTTTTGCAAGGACGGTGTATTTTCCGTCGCTGTATTTTCATTATCTTTCATAATAACTTCGGTCGAATCATTGACAATAGGCTCTTTGTTCTTATCATACATTGTCGACGTATTCTGAGAAGCTGAACAAACATTCAGTTCGTCTGGTATTACTGGTTCCAAAGAGGCAGATTCCTCTAATTCTAAAGGATCTTGTAAACTACCATCGTCACTATTGTCACTGGCATCTGATTTCGAACACCGTACTTGTTCAATATTGTGACGTTTCGTAGGTACTACAAACTCATTTGATACAATTTTCTTGTTTCGTCTTTTCCTACTTATTTTTAACTTTTCTGTATCACTTGGATCCGTAAGTACTTCAATACCATTCATGCTTTTTTCCTGTACTGCTGTAATATAGTCAGCTGAAAAATTCCATTAAATATATACTCGTATGTATACTTATAGGCAGGGTGAGTTGACCTAAGACATCCTATGTATGTACGAGGTGTGTTCAAAAAGTAACGAGAATTTTTAAATTTCGCGGGTTTGGAGAGTCCGCTTGTATAAAATTTTTTTTTATTATGTTGGTACACATGCCCCTGAAGTACGATAAAATTTTCAGCAATATTCATTGCTTACTTTTTAAGTGGCAGCCGCTAACGTTAGACGTGTTTTTCGAGCTCGGCGATTTTCGTTTGTGAAAAAAAATGGATCAAAGAATTTGTATTAAATTTTGCGTAAAAAATGAAATAAAGTGTAGTAAAGTTTGTCAAATGTTAACAAAGGCATATAGTGAGTCTGCTATGAGTAAAGCAAGGATTTATGAGTGGTATAAGCGTTTCCAAGATGGCCACGAAAACGTTGAAGATGACGAACGACCCGGACGCCCAAGCACATCAACAACCGATGAAAACGTGAAAAAGTGAAAGAAATGGTTATGAACGATCGCCGAATCACAATCAGAGAAGTCGCTGATGATGTTGGCATATCAGTTGGCTCATGCCATCAAATTTTTTCGAATGTTTTGGGTATGAAACGTGTGGCAGCAAAATTCGTTCCAAAATTGTTGAATTTCGAACAAAAACAGCGGCGAATGGAAGTTGCTCAGGAGTCGCTAAATGAAGTCAATAACGATGTAGAACTACTAAAACGTGTTATAACAGGTGACGAAACATGGGTTTACGGATATGATGTCGGAACTAAGGCTCAATCGTCCCAATGGAGGCATTCTGGATCGCCAAGACCGAAAAAGGCTCGACAAGTGCGGTCGAATGTGAAGGTTATGCTCACTGTGTTCTTCGATTTTAATGGCATAGTGCATTATGAATTCTTGCAACAAGATCAAACAATCAATAAGCAGTACTACAAGTTCAACGTCGTTTGCGTGAAGCAATCCGAAAAAAACGCCCGGATTTGTGGCAAAACAATTCATGGCTTTTGCACCACGATAATGCGCCTGCTCACACTTCATTGCTTGTTCGTGAATTTTTGGCCAAAAACGAAACTGTAACGATGTCTCAGCCTCCATATTCGCCAGATATGGCTCCATGTGACTTTTTTCTATTTCCAAAAATAAAGAGAACATTAAAAGGCCGTCGTTTTACAAGCATAGATGACATTAAAAGCGAATCGCTGAAAGAGCTAAAAGCTATTACAAAGATCGAGTTTCAAAAGTGTTTCGAGGATTGGAAAAAGCGTTGGCATAAGTGTATTGTATCCGAAGGGGACTACTTTGAAGGCGACAACATTAATGTAGATGAATAAATAAATATTTTTTTCATAAAACGAAAATTCTCGTTATTTTTTGAACACACCTCGTACTTTTTACAAAAATGAAACTGAAGGTATTTGAAAGTACAGAAGCGGAAATTGGATGTGCAAATAATCCACCAATTGAAGCTACGGCTCAAAGTTAGTGTTTTTGAACCCTTATAAAATTAAGATGCTATTTGAAATGAATATGCTTTAAAACTGATTTCGCTTGCTCATGAGATGCACAATCATTTGCGATATTAATCACAGTGTGTAAATAAAGTTACGATAAGGCTGAGTCAATTATTCATAATAATTTTTTAGAAAGTACATTCGATTAAGCGATTAGAGAACTACAATATTTATATATTATATTTTAATAAAAATAAATATAAAACCGGAAATTTTCGGAAAGGGTAGCACTTCTACACTGAATTCATATTATAATGGGATATAATAGTAATATTTTATGCATCCTTAAGACGTATTTGATTGCATAAGGGTTGAAAAACACTGAATAGCTCCGAAAGTGTAGCAGCTATGAAAGTTAGCACATACATAACTATATAAACATCAATAATAATTAATTCTTACGGCACGTTTTCACTATCTTTTTGAGAGGTATTTGAATAAAGTGCTCATCAACATCATCATCTTCAATGATCATCTTTTTAATATGTGCGATTGAGTAGTTACTTGGAGGATAATCGAAGGATGTTTTATCAAGAGAAATCCAACCAATAGGTACAACGAATTTCTTATCATTGGTATCGATGACTATAGCGTATTTGCGAGTCATAATTGACCTCTGTAATTTTCATAATTATAAATGAATAATAATAATAAAAAATTGAATTATTTTTTTTGTAAGAGTAACTTTGATTGAATGAAAACTTAAAAGAACACCACGCGAACAATTAGTAAATTCTTTTATGTTAAGGGGTCCAGACGGTGTGGAAATTAGAAAATTGGAAGTCTTCTTCATGGGCGTGTACAAAGCGTACCAATAAAGCTATTGAAATGAAACTTTTTTTATCGTAAAGTACTCAATAGAAGCTTAAATTTTCTGTATCACGAGCCAAAATTGTAATTAAGGGCCTTAAAAAGACACTTAACTATATATACCCATATATGAGGTAATAATTCTGTGTTTCATCCGTATATTTGTAGTGAAATATTTCTATCTCATTTTCGGCTGAAAATATGAGTGGTAACAGTTCACTTATGTTTTCATCATCCATACAAGGGAATTTTCTCGCTCATTTGGTGCTTCTTACAAGTTTATTAAGTCTACAGATGACAACATTCTTGTCGAAAACTATCGTTCGGTTTACTTCAATCTCATGCTGTAAACAAACTAATTATTTAAACGTATGAACTAATGGATAAGTTATGAATCCTTCAGTACACGGAATTTTGAATATTTTAGCATGTATTTCGTTGCAAGCCCACTCTTCCAGATGACTGCTTTGTCGTACAATTTTAATGCCTAATACACTGCTACGGAGTCCCGACATCACAAATAAATCTCTTAACATATCACATTTATTTCCAGTAATATATATATTTCCATTACTTTTCGAAACAGAGATAATCTCAATTATGGAACCGTTAGAAACCATGACGCAATTATTTCTTTCGTCTGTGACATCAATTTGAAATGCGTTCGCTTTTAAAATTTTATAATACCGTGTATTTGGTCGACCACTAATATCTAAAGCCACATACGTAATTTTTTCAACAACAAAATTACTAGTATTAACGGCACATCGACTTGCCCAATTCTTCATCGACGCGTATTCGGATAATCTTCTGGCAATTTGCTGCAACGGCCTCTCTCCTTTTCTTATCAATTTCTTCAGAGAACAAATGAAATTTTCGAATGGAAATGCACTAAAAGTTTCTACTACGCCAAACAGTTCAACGTCTTTGCATAAATGTCCGAAATTGTGTACATTATGCGTAACATGTCTGCTACCACACAATTTTTGGAAACCATAAATAAATTTCATGGCTAGAGATTGGCAGTATTTTATGATATCTGGTTTACGAACTAATATTTCATTATTTAGAATAGTCATGACTACATGAAGTGTTAAAAGGTTCTCATACACTTGTGGATGAAAGACATCTTTAACTATAGATGGACCAAAGTATAACAAAAAATGTCGGAATTCAGTTGCCTTCCACTTTTTCCAGTATTTCAAAGATCTTGAACGGCGATTAAATTCTAATGGTAAAATGTTTTTCAAACCTTCTAATCTTTCCGAAATTTTTTCAATGCATTGATTTGCAAGCCGGAATATTTTTCGTTTACTTTTGGTATCACCTACCCAGAGTCTAATCATGTGCTTCATTATACCTAAATATACCAAGTGCATGACATCTAAAGGTACATTGGATACTAGACCAACATAAGGTAACTCATTCAAAATAGTTTCTCCGTGTTGATAATTATCAGAATAAAACATAATTTTGAATTTAGAATCGGTTCTTAATAAATCGTTACAGTATCTACTCAATTCTTCGATGCTATCTGTGGGGAAACAAACTGATGCTATATGCGTACCTTCGATCGTGCACTTGCTGCAACTGTAGTAACCAGAATGTCCTTTTGTACATAAAATAAAAGATTTAGCAGGAGCATCCAAAATAAGTCGATCTAATCTTACATTGTATACGTTGCCGTTATATAAAAATCCATTACTTATTAAATCTGTAAATTCTTCTTTAGTCCTTTTCAAAAATACATTGGCATCCACCGGTTTCGAAGTCCCATAGTAAATACCAACTGCATACACAGTTTCTACTTCAACGTCTTTCATTGATATAATCCACAGACCTTTTTCGGATGAATTACCAACAAGTGGAGCCCCATCTATATTGACTGAAAGTTTTATAGTGTTGAAAACATGTTTTTGAGAAATACGATCATGAATAATTTTTTCGATGGCATTAGCTACACCTAAATGACAATATTGACCACTGTCCATTTCGATAACATCAGTACTTCTTGGTGTTTTTAAAAGCGTACGCGGATCTTTCGGAAACTTTGTACCAGTATACTTATTTAATATAGCAAGTAATGGTTTAAGATGGCCATGTTTAATTTTGTAATCCCTTGCCCAGCAGATGATTTCTTGATGAAATTTTGTATCATTATCAGCTATAGAATCATGCATCATTACATCAAAATCTATCGAGTCATCCATATCTGAATCCGGGATACTTTCAGCATCGTTATCGCTATAGCGATATATATCAGAAGAAAAGCTAGAGTCTGTATCAGAGTTATTTGCATCAACACAGTATTCGTTAATTACATCTTCATATCCAGACTTGAATTCATATGTGCTTGTTGAGCAGTTGGTATCTACATGTACAGACACTGGATTGAAATCTAGATTATAAGATCCTTCAGTTCTATTCACTTGCGACCCAGCAGATTCGAAACACGACGCATCCTGTTTAAGTGTTTTATCAGCAGATGAGGTATTGGCAGGAATTGACACATTGCTACTTTTACATTTTTTCGTCCCAGTAGATTCGGAAACAAGGTCTTGTTGAATCGTTTCGACATTACATGAGGAATTGGCAGCAATATTTGTCTCAGAGTTTAAAAGAGAATGCTTAGTGCTTAAAGATTCAATAATCTGTAAATCGTGTTCAGTGTTTTTTTTCGATAACCTTCTAATATGTCGATCACTTAATGGAGGAACTCCTTTCCTCTTTCTTGGCATTTCACCTAAGAAAAACAAATACGCTAGCTAAGAAATTAGAGAAGCATGGGTAACATTAAAAGAGAAAAAAGCTGCAGGCCCGGATGGAATACCGAGTGAGGTGTGAATACACGAAGGGTCTGATAAACAAAATGATATGCATACTGGGAAAAGTGTGAGAAAGACAGGGAATTCCGGAAGATTGGAGGTCAGCCATGGTTGTACAGCTGTATAAAAAGGGCGACCCCAATAATACTCAAAATTATAGAGGTACATCACTTTTGTCGTCGGCTTATAAATTATACACAGAAATCATAAGAAAACGTTTAGAAAAAGAAGTGGAAGATCTGGGGATTTTACTGGAGGGACAAACAGGTTTTAGAAAAGGGAGGGCCACAACGGGTAACATATACATACTGAATCATATTATTGGCATGACAAGGAATAGGAAAGAAAAGATATACGCGTTATTCGTTGACTTGAAAGCGGCGTTCAATACGGTGGACCGAAAAATTCTTGGGATGATTTTCGAAAAGTTTGGTATAAGTAGGAACATAATAAGAAAATTAAAAGAACTATATGCGGAAACGAAAATAAAAGTGAGAGCGGGAGAGGTTTTATCGGAAGATTTTGGACCTTAAAGGGCTGAGGCAAGACTGCGTACTTAGTCCGCTTTTATTCTGCCTGTACATCGCAGGTTTGGAAAAGGAGTTCGAGACTAAAAACAAAGGGGGAATAAAATTTAATAGAACCAAGGTTTGGTCACTTGCGTACGCGGATGACTTAGTTCTAATGGCATACAACAGGGAGGCTCTTATTGAAATGATGGTTATACTGAAAAAATTTTTGAAGGAAAGGAATCTCATACTGAGCATAGAAAAAATAAGGTTTTAATTTTTAATAAAGATAAAGGCAGTAAGAAAGAAAAAAAGGTATGGGGTAAAAGTGAAATAGAAGAAGTGTCAACTTTTAAATATTTAGGTTTTATGTTCAACGCGAAAGGGGATTATAAAGATCACATAGCAGAACTAAAAAAAGAAAGGAAAAACAGCGGCTAAGAAAACATGGAGATTAGGGAAAAGAGCGTGCAAAAACGATTATAAACGTAGAAGAAGGCTTATTGATTACTTAGTACGTAGCGTCATGGAGTACGGGATGGAAATTTGAGGATGGGAGGAAAAGAGGGAACTGGAAAAAATACATATGGACTACATAAGATGGATTTTGAGACTCGATTTTAGCACACTGAGATATATAATCTCACAAGAAACGAATACGTGGAAAATGAAAATTAGATGGGAAGAAAGAGCAGCTACATACGAGAAAAAAGTGGAGAATTTAGAAGACAACAGACTGCTTGAACAATGCTGGCTGAGAAAAAGAGAGAATAATAAGCAGGACAGATACAGTATAGAAAGAAAAGCGTATTATCAGAGAGTAGGTTTGAGCGTAGAGGTAGTGGTAATAATAAAACAGCAGGAAGGAGATTATACGACGAAATAAGGAATAGAGGAACAGACGACGAAAGACAAATTAGGATAGGCAAAATTAACGATGTAAAGTATAACGCAGGATATGAGTACATTATGTATGAGGGGCTCCCGAAATATTTGCGGATAGGTAGGAAAGATGTAAACATTGATGTATTAGCTAGACTAATTCAGAAGGTATGACACCTCAAAAATATGTTAATTATGTCCCGAGTTTAGTATCAAAATTGACTGTTTCTTAGATAAAAACTAAAAATACGAAAATTTTTTCAAACTAAACGACATGATCTCAGCTTTCTGTCGATAACTTTAAAATTGCAGTAGATCCATTACTATATCACATCTTATAAAAAAGAAATTTTATTTTTTAACGTACTAAACCTTTCACAACGCGCCCTTTATATGTTCTTTCGCAGGTCTGACCTTCTCCTACTCAGCTATTTTAATACCATAATCTCTGTAGATCTAGCTATAATTAGGAATGTCAATTCTCACGTAACTTTCAGTTTTGATATTAAAAATTTTGATTTATATATCCATCTTACTGTTAAATTAAGTAAATCTCCCTTCCCTCCAATACAATCGAAATTAATTTCTATGCACTTGTGCTCGTCGTTGACTCTGTTCTAAAAATTGATTTCTAAACAGCCTCTAAAGCCTACTCGCATGGCAGTTTTACCTGAAAAGTATATTAGGAAGGGGGGGAGGATTTCACTCGCGGTATTAAGGATCATTAACATTTTGAGGCAAATATCATACATGTATCATTTATCTAATTCCTGCGAAACAAACAACTGATCAGTAAAATACGCGAGTCTTTTAATACAGCAAAAAATGTTGGAATGAAAAGCTTACGTAGCAACTTATGTAATCTGAAAGAATTATGGAAACAAGAGTTACTTTTTTGAATCATTGTAAAGTCAAAAAAAAAAGTCAGGACTAAAACACCACAGATTTTGCTATAACATCTGAGGTATACAAAAAGGGAGCAAGAAAAATTTTTTTAAACAAAATGAATTCGGAAAAATAAAAAAACTTCTGATATTTAAAAGAGAAATGGAAAAAAAAAAATAAAACAAGAAGAAATAGAAGCTAAGAAACAAGAAAAAATTTAATTAAAAAAAACAAGCTATATTCCGAGAAAAATTAATAAAAAAGGAGACAGAAGCTAAATTTAAAAAATTGTTAGAAGAAAAGGCAGCAGCATTAAACTTGACAGATTACAATACGTCAATTCCTAAAAAACAGAAAGTTTTGAAAGAGATTGCCAACACACATTCATAATTATTTTACCAGTTTTATGTTTTATAAGTTTTGTAAATTTACTGCTATTATTCATCATCAATCTTAAATTCTATCACTGATAACAATATAACGTTCAATAATTTGTAGTCGGATATGTACTTATTGATCATATTAATACTTAATAAGTATTCAATTATAAGTTTTGCAAATTTAAAATAAATGTAGATTATTTTTAAATGATATGAGAGATGAAAATGTGATATTAATTCAAAGACTTTTAAAATATTAGTATCGTTATGCTCAGAAAGATGTTAAAAAATGTAAATTCCAGAATTAAATGAGTATCTGATCTTAAATTAAGACAATAATTAGATATAAATAATTATTTTCTTGTGCACTTGGTAGCTATAGAAAGGACTATGCTCCAGGCGATATCATTTTTGGTTTCATATAATAGCAAACTAAAAAGTTTGGCCATTCATTCAAATAAAAGTTTTACACATTACCTTGTTATTTCTCTTGTAGTTATATCGAAATATGCCACAGTGCCAATTGAAAACACACAATCTATGTCGTACTTTGAAAAACAAAATCTGGCCAAAGGTGATAAAAAAATAATGTGTGTCTATATAATTCTCTTATAATTATGTAAATATGCCAATTCAAAATCCACGATCTATTTGTCGCAATTGGAAATAATCTTGCCAAGGTTAATTGAAAAATAATCTGTGTCTATATATTATTGGTAGTATTGGTACTTCATTTGATTTCCTTTATAATCTGAATTTTTGTCTCTCTCTCTCTCTCTCTCTCTCTCTCTCTCTCTCTATCTCTCTCTCTCTTTCTCTCTATCTCTCTCTCTCTCTCTCTCTCTCTCTCTCTATCTCTCTCTCTCTTTCTCTCTATCTCTCTCTCTCTCTCTCTCTATTCAAAATAGCTGAATTATTAGCTAGTAGAGACAATAAAAAAGCTGGAAAAAAACATTTTAATTAATAAATATTTTCAATAAATATATATTTCTATAATAAAATTCGGGGTTCACAAATATAACATCACGGGTCACCCTCGTGGCATCGTCCGAGAGTGATCCGTGAAAGTGATTCCGATCTAATTTAATACATGAATATATTCAACTTTTATGATAAAATTATAACTATGTTATAATGGTTATAAAATCTGTTAATAAATTTTCTTTTACTTACTTGGAGATGGAAGCGAAAGCAGCGAAACACAAAGCTGTCTAATCTCTAATGCCTGGAATTGAGGCGGCTGGAGTAAGGAGAGTGCATAGGTGCGGTCACAATACCGAACACGATATACCTATTACAACCGAAGATTACAACTAAACATAATCCGGGCCATGGAATACATTCAATTGTATGTTTGAATTTGCACTTTTAAAATAACTATTCAGAAAATTTGCACCTCAAATAGCTATTTCGCCAAAAATTCGTAAAGTTACGCAAACTTCAAAACGCTATGAATCGCAAACAAATCAGCTTTTTCAAATTTTCTTTACATAAAAAATTTGCAACTTTTTTGTATAAATTAGCACCGTTTGAAAAATAAGGCTCGGTCCCCCCATTTCTTATTGGTAATAAGAAAAAAAGTTTTGCATTAAGCCGCTTGAGAATAAAGACTGTGCGCATGCGCATCACTCGAAAAATGTTTCCAGCAAGGTTATTTAATAAGTTGCACACTCAGCATGCAATATTTCAGTGAAAAATTCCATGAAATATTTCAAAAGAACCTTGTGAAAATATTGCAGGAAGGTTTCGGAAAGTTATTTAAAAAATTTCAGTAAAATATTTCGAGAAATATTTGAAGAAACCTTTCACGGAAATGTTAATTGTTAAGTTACGAAATATCTCGGTGAAACCTTATAGAAAACTTGCAGAAACATTGTAAGAAATATTTCAGGAAAGATTTCAAGGTTTTTGAAACATTCCCGGAAATTTCCTTGAAATCTTTCCTGAAATATTTCTTGCGATGATTCTGCAGGATTGCTGAAAAAATTTTCCGAAAAGTTTTGTTTATCATTTCTTTAACAAAAATTATATTTCGTTCAAATATTACTACAAATATTCTGAAATATTCCAGAAATATATTTCCAGACATGAATCGTGAATATATTGCGAAATAAAATGTCAAAATTTTTGGAACGATTTCAGAAACATTTCCAGGAAGTATTTGAGCCAATATTACCGAAATATTTTTGCAATAATTCTACAAATATTTCCAGCAACTTCCCTCTATCTTTCCTCAAAATATTTCTTGCAATGTTTCCGCAAGTTTTTTGAAATATTCCCAGCAACTTCGTTGAAATCTTTCCTGAAATATTTCTTGAAATGTTTCTGCAAGTTTCTTGCAAAGTTTTACCGAGATTCTTCGAAACTTAACAAATAACATTTCAGTGAAAGGTTTCTGTAAGGTTTCAGAAATATTCCCCGAAACTTCCTTGAAATCTTTCCTGAAACATTTCTTGCAATGTTTCTGCAAGGTTTTCGAAATATTCCTTGAAACTTCCTTGAAATCTTTCCTCAAAATATTTCTTGCAATGTTTCCGCAAGTTTTTTGAAATATTCCCAGCAACTTCGTTGAAATCTTTCCTGAAATATTTCTTGCAATGTTTCTGCAAGTTTCTTGCAAAGTTTCACCGAGATTCTTCGAAACTTAACAAATAACATTTCAGTGAAAGGTTTCTGCAAGGTTTCAGAAATATTCCCCGAAACTTCCTTGAAATCTTTCCTGAAATATTTCTTGCAATGTTCCTGCAAGTTTCCTGCAAAGTTTCACCGAGATTCTTCGAAACTTAACAAATAACATTTCTTGCAATGTTTCTGCAAGGTTTTCGAAATATTCCCTGAAACTTCCTTGAAATCTTTCCTGAAATATTTCTTGCAATGTTCCTGCAAGTTTCCTGCAAGGTTTCACCGAAAGATTTCGAATCGTAGCAAATAATATTTCAGTAAAAGATTTCTGCAAGGTTTCAGAAATATCCCCTGAAACTTCCTTGAAATCTTTCCTGAAATATTTCCTACAATGTTTCTGCAAGTTTCCTGCAAGGTTTCACCGAAAGGTTTCGAATCGTAGCAAATAATATTTCAGTGAAAGGTTCCTGCAAGGTTTCTAAAATATCCCCTGAAACTTCCTTGAAATCTTTCCTGAAATATTTCCTGCAATGTTTCTGCAAGTTTCCTGCAAGGTTTCACCGAAAGGTTTCGAATCGTAGCAAATAATATTTCAGTGAAAGGTTCCTGCAAGGTTTCTGAAATATCCCCTGAAACTTCCTTGAAATCTTTCCTGAAATATTTCCTGCAATGTTTCTGCAAGTTTCCTGCAAGGTTTCACCGAGGTATTTCGAAACGTAACAAATAACATTTCCGTGAAAGGTTTCTGCAAGATTTCTGGAATATTTGTCGAAATATTTCACTGAAATATTTCAAATAACTTTCTGAAAGCTTCCTGCAATATTTTCACAAGGTTTCTTTGAAATATTTCATGGAATTTTTCACTGAAATATTGCATGCTGTGTGGGTTCCTATTAAAAAAAGCACTTTGACCTTCAGGTGACCTTGATAAACGTATTAAGGGTCAAAGTTGAAGGTAGCATTTGATGGCCCCCTCTGTCCCCTGCAACTGTTATAGAGGTCATTTTTTGATAGTGTTTGTTTTTACTAGGTTATGCGCGTGGTCGGATTAAAATTAAATACCCTGTATATATAGAAAATAATGTATATATACAGGGTGGTGAAAAAGTATGGAAACACCTGAAAATCTCAGAGGGTTGGTCATAAAAATAAAATTCTTAAGGTCAGGTCCTATATAACTTTCAACGAGGAATCCAGTGATGACCTTGAAT